CCCGACATGCCCACAGCAGCTGACACGAGGTCGAGCTTGTCGAGCACTACCGCGATGTTGTCTCCTTGCTCCACCCTGTGGGCGATGAAGTTCATGAGTCGCTTGACACGGTTGATCGCGTTCTGGCCGCCTCCCTCATCCCCAATGAGCGCGACCAATCGCGTAACTGCGCCGCGGGGCTGGGCCAGAAGCGATTCTGGACTCTCGCGGATCAGCGGGTGCGTGGTCTTGTACAGCTTCCATCCGTCTGACGGCTTAGTCGCGTTGACCCATGGGAGCACGATCGCGTTCCGAATAGTCTGTTCCCTGGTCGGCGGTGCGGGTTTCTTCCGCGTCCCCTGGTCGGTGGGAGTGGTGGCATTGGTAGGCGCGGCTGCGGCGCCAGGAGTGTGTGCCGGACTCGGATCCGCGGTCGGCCCTGGGCTGCTCACGGTGAGACGCGACAGCTGGGCCTCCAAATCATTCACGCGCTCGTCCTTCGCGGCCAGCTTTCGGTCGCGATCCTCCAACTGACCCTCTAGTTCTGTCACCCTTTTCTATGTCGCGAACAGCTCTAGGCCTAACATGGTGTTGTCCGCTTGCGAACGGGTCAGGTACTCTGTGAGGACGGTCACCGTGGTCTGCGCGTCCATCCTGGTACTGACCTCCTGCATAGACAGAACGCGACCGCGAGCATGTGATAATTTGACATGGACATAACAGCCGAATAATTAACGCGACCGTGCAGTACTCACCGCGCCCTGGGTCAGTGTAGGTGTGTTACGCTGAACTATGGCCAGTTGATTTGCCAAGGAGACATCTGCAGCCCACCGCGCAAATTCCTCCGTCTGGCAGAGCGGGTTGTTGACCACGTACGGGTGTCGCGGCTGGTGAATGTAGTACATGGCCAGGTCTTGCGCGACCGCCATCCTAGCCCCCCCATCCAGCTCCTTCAGTATGTTGAGACCCGCGGTGTCCTGTTTCTCCGCCTTGTCCTCTTTGACCATCTTCCGGTTGTAATCCTTGCACTGTAATCCAACACAACAACGCGGAAGTGAACGCGGTGGCCGAGGGCTATGTTGAATGCTCGCGGTCGTTAACAGGTATGGTGCGCGACCCACACATACCTGTTTCTGTCCTTTGTCCGGGGCGGCCCAGGGGAAAATGTGCTTCCTCAGTAGTTTATCCAGCTCCTCGCTCACAGGAACAGTTGCGCGACCCAGGAAGTAGTCACCGTCAACCCCGGTGAAGCCAGCCTTCAGCAGCACGGCCTCCCTCGGAATAGTTGTGAGGTAGTGCTTAGTCATCACGTCGATGAAGCGCCAACCGCCCAGTCTAGCCAGCTGATCCGAGGGCATTCCGTCCGCGGACGCGTGCTGCGCCCCACCAGCCCTGGTCGCGTGAACCACACGCGAGCAAGTAATTCCCGCGTCATCCAGGATCTTCGCCGCCCAGTCGTGATGAGTCGTTGGCGGTATTTGCTTCTCGGTGCCTGCGCGCAGGGGGAAGAAGAGGTACTGGTCGTACCACGTCGAGGGTTCCGTGAAGTCAAGAGGGGGGGCTATGTCCCCGTAGAGGTGGGGAACCAAGTCGTACACCCAGTGCATCCACAGCAGCGTGGCTCCGACCGCGCACAGCGCCCAATCTATGTGTCTCACGGCAGAGATGTAGTTGAGCGAGAAATCCTTGTTTGTCTTGCCCGTCCTGCACGCGCAGACAAACATGAACGCGTTCCTCACTGGATCAGTCTCTGATTTTGCGCCGAGCTTCCACATCATCATGTCTGGAAGCTGCAGGTTTCTGATCGTGCACCCGCGGGCGAGAGTGTGATGACCGAGCACGGTCATCGTCCGGATGCAGAGGTCGCGATGCATTGCCTGCGTGTAGGCTTTCTTGGCTAGTGTGAAGCTGCTCAAGATGGCGGCCATGCTGGTCTTCCGCATCATGTGCTTGAACTCGTCCGGGGTGTACGTGTCCGCGGCCGTGCCCCGATGGCGATCCATGTGTTCCCTGCGCAACAAGTTGGACAATTGTGCCAGTGTTAGTGGACGCGCTTTGTTGGACGTTGAACGCGGTGCATGGGTGCTGATACTTACGCGATAAACCGCTTGTACTGGTCGCGTACTTGAACGCGGACCCAGATACGACACTCCGCAAAGTCGCGCAGCAGGTTCAGAACGGGTTTCCGGAAGATGGCCCCATCCAGCTTGATGAGCAGGTTCAGTGCCTTGAGACGCCCCATCAGCATTGCAGGGGTGCACTGGCGTCTCTTCTTCAATGTTTTGTCGGGCCGCTTGAGTGTTGCCATCCTGTCCGCCTGTGCGATCGTCTCGTTCGCGAGGAAGGTCACGCATTTGCGTAAGCGCCACGGATTCGTTTCAGGGCCGTGGAACCACTGCTCGTCGCCCCTCGCCAACTTCCAACTACCACCCATGTTCTGTTCGAGCGCGGCCCCGATCTCGTCTGGGTTCGCGTTTTTCAACGCGGCCTCCTCCCCGAACCTCCCCTCGTCCAGTTTCGGCAGCTCGTGCGCCATGAACCGCTTGTACTCGTTGGCCCAACCGCGATACTTTTTCAGCGTGGCCTCGGAGAGACCGTAGAGGATTCCCATGCACATCTCTCTTTTCGCGGCAGGTGTGTCGTCCACACCTAGCCGGTTCCAATCCGCGATCGGGACCTCGTTGTCCGTCCGCGTTCCCATCACCCGTTCCCTGTCTTCCGCCTCCTCTTCATGGAGCGCGGACAACGAATTAGCTAGGTAGTTCTCGTCGTCGTCATTCCACCCGTCGCCGCTATCGCTGTCATCATCATCGACGTCGTCGTCCTCGTCGCTCGGCCCCTCGCCCCCCTCCCCGGTCCCGGTGCGCTCGGTGTGCGGCACTACATCAACTCTCCGCCTCCTAATACGCGGCCTAAGAACGGGCTGGTTCGCGGAACCGCCGTTCGCGTTACTACCGTTCCTTCGCGCGCCGGTTCCAGTCCCACCAGGAGCGCTCCCCCCGTTAGCACTACCCCCGGCCCCTCTCCCACTGGCCCCTCTTCCCCGGGCACCTCTCCCACCGTGTCCTCTCGCACCTGTCCCTCTCCCCGCGGTCCCACCCCCCGCGTTCCCTCTACCCGCGTTCCCTCTCGCGCCGGCCCCCCTCCTCGCGGTCCCACCCACCGCGTTCCCTATACCCGCGTTCCCCCTCTCACCGGTCCCTCTCCCCGCGTTCCCTATCGCACCGGTCCCTCTCCCCACGTTCCCTCTCGCGCCGGTCCCTCTCCCCGCGTTCTTCGCGTTCGACTGTGGTTGCATACCTCTCCCGGTGGCGTTCGCGGTAGTTGGTTGCGCGAGGGTGCTGATGTGGACATCTGGGTTCCCCGGCAACAGTAAGTTCACGTTCCATATCGGAGGCGATTGTGCACGCGCGCTTTCATTCATCCCCGCTCCATCAATCTCTACACGTCTTGTACCATCCGTAACCGCGTTCGATGGTGGGCACGTAGATCGCGCGTGTGTGTCCACACCGACCACTAATGGATCTCTGGTGCCTGGCGAGGCTAGGACCGGTGGGGAGATTCCAGTCTGAATCGCGTTAGGAAATGGGGTCGCGGGTGCGACAGGAGGCGTCGCGACAGTAGCGGGTGCGTGCACCACGGGGTCTGGTTGAACGCCGATGTACCCGTACCTAAACCCGAAATTCGCGTATTGCGGCCCCACGTAGCCACGAACAGGCATCCCAAATAGCTGGTTTGTGTGACCGTTCGCGGCCGCGGTTTGTTGTCCGTGAGTCTGTGTTCCGAGATGAGGCGTGAATACAGCAGTCGTGTACTGATGTTCGTGTTCGGTCTGAAACGCGAACGACGCCGATGCGAGAGGAATATGTGACCGCGGTGCCAGGTGAATCCCGTTGATAAGTTCCTGCGGATTGAACGCGGGCATTTGTGCCCCAGAAAATACAGGCTGCACGTATGGGGTGCTCCATGTGGGATTCAGCGCGGGCATGTTTTGCACGGCGGCGCTACCAGGGGCGGCTGTGTTGCCTGTGGCATTAAGAGATTCGTGGAGAATGGGCGCCGCAACGCTATTCACTGTATGCATGCATCGTCCGAGATTACCCCTGTTCCTACGTAACGCGTGCGTCAACATGTTGCGATCTCTCTACGCGTTCCCTACAGTTGCACGTCTAACTATGACCGTGGAGGCACACGCCCGCGTGTGATTATCGGTTAGCCCTAAACAACGCGCCCTCGGCGATCACGTTCCATCAATCGCGACCCTTCTTGTAACCGCGACACGCGACCCCCGATTTCCGTCGAAGTCCACTGAATTTGAAGGGACAAGAGAGAGAGGAGGTTGATGTGCAACTAGCGAGAGAAAACTGTAAATGTGGACAGGCTGTGTGTTATGACCGGTCACGGCTTAGACGTGCTTCTCACGGCACCGCGTTCGCGTCCGCACCGCACCGCGACAGCTGTCAAGGTCGTTCAAAGTGCTGCACGTGTCATCCAGCATGGAGCCTGTCTAATCGCGCCAGGTGTTTCCAATCGTGTTCTCGCACCGCGCTCACCGAACCTGTTTTTGTGCGAACATAGCTCGAGACTCATTTCGCGAAGTCGCAACCAATCCTCTCGCTCTTACTGTTTCGCGAACGCGCAGTGCATGCGCGCGAATTTGCACCTGTCAATGTTCACCAACCAATCGCGTACGTTTTAAACCGAGTCGCGCATGCTTTGGCGCGTAAGAACCACGTGGGTTCTTTCGGTTTTTGGGGGCTCGCGGAGTTTTCGGTGGCAGCCTGGTGGATTTCACTCTGCCACGCAGGGCCGCGCAAGATCCAAAACTGGTGGGATCCTGGAGGGCCGACTTCGCCCCGCGCGTCCCCCGATTTCTCCGCGCCCCGTACATCCCCAGGCGTGGGCGGGGGTTTTCCCGAGCCGCGCCGTATGAACATCCCAGGACTAACATGGCTTGTAGGGCGAACAGTGTTTGCACGGTGTAGAGTGTATGCAAGGCGTGCAGTATTTGCAGGACATACAGTGCTTGCAGGTTGGTGAGGGAGGAGAGCCAAGCCAGTCCGTCCAGAGTTCCAGTCAGACTGCAGCCACGCTTTCCAATAGCTCTGAGTGCACACACATGGCATGCATGCAGAGATTGAACGTATGCAGGGTGAACGGGGCACGGTGGAAAATGAGAACAGATGGCACAGGGTTACAGGGTTTAGGAAAAAACTGAAATCATATTTTGGATTGAGCAACAATAACAGGAGTGCTTGTAGGGGCGACTGGCAATGAATGGCGTGAGAAAAGCGATGGAGCACAGATGAAGGCATGAGCAGGCGGCCCGGCCCGACCCGACCCGACCCGACCCGACTTGGCCGGGCCAGCCGGGTTCCCGGGTCGGGTCGGGTCGGGCCAGACCCGGGCCAAGCTGGTGAAGTCTCTGACCCGACCCGGGGGGACAGGGTCGGGTTTTCCCTGACCCGACCTCGGGTCGGGCCGACCCGAGGTCGGGTCGGGTCAGGGAAACCCGCTTTCGCGCGCCCCCTGTGCAGATCGGCGATTTCGCCCGCCGATCTGCGCAGATCGGCGATTTCGCTGGTCAACCTAATAACGCTGTGAGGAAGCCAGGAACCCCCTCCTCCCCGTCAAATTTGCTGGAATAAAAATCCCAACCAATTCGCCGCCACTTACCGCTCGTCACCGCACTGGATCTACACAACCCGACCCCCCATGCAAATTTAGAGCTCACGACATTGAGCTTAGTCCAACCCTAGGTTCTCGAAGTGAAGTTAGGTAGGTTGCGGGACTGATGTCGAGGGGAAAAATGTCCCCTCGACATCGACTTTAGGGTTTCCTCTAGGGTCGAAACCGGGTCGGGTCAAGGCCCGAAGCCCGACCCGGTTCTTGACCCGATTTCCGGGTCGGGTCACAGTCAGCCCGAAACCCGACCCGACCTGGCCCGAAATTCAACATCGGGTCGGGTTTTCGCCCGGGCCGGACCGACTCGACCCGCCCGGGCCAGGACATTGCAAGTCCTGACCCGACCCGGGCAAAATCCCGGGTCGGGTCGGGCGGGCTGTTTGCGCATGCTTAATCATGAAGTCTTAGAAGCGAAGGACCAAATGTCTCCTGTCTTGAGACATGGCTGGGAACAAACAAGGATCGAGCTGGAAAGAGCAGGATCGGGGGGTGTAGAGGAGTGAAGGAGGGCGGTGGACGTGCATATAGGATGGGCCTAGTCCATCCAACAATAATCGCCCCAGAGCAGCACTAACAGGTTGGTAAGGCCAGTGAGACTGGCGAGGGATGGAATTGGTCCCACCAGATTAACGTAGGTCAGATCCCTGCGGAATGGGAGTGCAGGAACAACAGCGGAGAAGGCAACAGAAAAATGTAGCAGAGTCTTGAGATCTATGGTTGATAGGTTGCAGCTTGTGGTCCGGCTACTAGTGCACAAGAGGCATGCAAGGGCAGGAACAGGGTATGGTCAGTTGTGGCGTGTGGCAATGTTACTAAACCTACAGTAGTAGGGACAAAATGGAAGGACAGAGCAGGACGAGGTTGGGGCGAGGGCAGAGCATGGCAAACGAAGGAAAGGCATGGTGGATGCACGATGGATGTAGTGCAGGGAGAGGGTAGGTGGGTGGGTGGTGACGGACAGGTACTGCAGAGTGGCGAGAGTAGTGATGGAGGCAGGTATGGCACCACTGGCTGGAGGATGCACTTCCCTGCCAACACAAGCATGCATGCACGCAACACCAGCTCCCATTCCTCCCACCCAAGTTTCCTTCCCCGGTATCCCAGTCCTCGCCCATCCCGCCACCCCACATCCTCCAGTTTCAACCCACTCCCCCTCCCCCTCCGCGTTGCGACTCAATCCATGCTCCCGCACGCACACCGTAAAATCCAGCCCATTCAAGATTAGAACACGATTATTGCAATCGGAGAACGGCACAATAACCGGCAAATACAGCACCATATACATCATCGGACAGCGAGCTCCGGTCGGGCGACCGATAACGTCTGCCACTGGAAAGTTACTGCCTCGTTACTTTAGGGTTGCATTTTTTCCGCAAGACCGAGTCACGCGAAAATGTTGACGGAAATGCAACCTTGCGGTCACATTTTTCCGCAGGTTTCCGCATTCGCAACTGGTGTACAGAAAGTCGCTTTTTGCGAGCGTTGTTTTTTGGACACTTCGTGCAACTTAGTCGCAGGTTTTTCGCAGAAAACCCTTCGAACCCCCAAAATCGCAATTTTCCTTTTCCGCGATGTGTCGACAAGTCGACGCCTGTATAATAAGACTCACAGGGCAACGACGAGCCCTTCGGGGGTGCACGTGACGCCGGTCCATGCAGAGCACGCAGTGGTGGCGTTGCTGTTGTTCTCCCAAATGCCCCACGCCTCCTTCAGCTGCAGCAGCGCCTTCACTGCCGGGTCAACGGGGAAATGGGAGCACATTCACGCTATTAGGGGCTAGTTGCTACGTCCACAACACCCCGTGAGTGACGAGCATGACAAATGTCAAAGTGACAAAATCGGATGGGCCCAGAAGACTTGTCACCCAGAAGTCTCGGTCTGCCCATGAGAGCTCGAGTGTGCGGAATGGGGGACGTCGCGAGGCAGCTCGCTGGGAGATAACCCCCGACTCACATTGTGAGTCTTCCACAGCGACGGGCTTTGCAGCGCTCGCGCCGGTCGATTTGAAACCGTCGACCGCTGCGGCGCCGCTGGTAGCGGCGAGCTTTAAGAGCGAGCGTCGGCCGCGGCTGGGTCGAGCGCGAGACAGCAGGCGCTGTTTGGGCGGACGTGGGGCATCTCGGAGCGGCGGGCGATCAGCGCTGGAAACGGAGCACGCAGCAGCGCCGGCGGCAGTGAGGGCGAGGGAGAGGAGAATGCAAGTTGCGACATGATTTGCAGAGCCGCGTGGCCACGCGGCAGGCCGGGTAAAACGAATTTTAAGTGTGCATCCGAAAAACGTGGGTTGGAATTCCTACTTCGATGTAACTTAGAAAGTTGCTCTGGGGGAAGGTTTCCGAATGTATGTGTGAAGTTGCTGGTCATTATGCTTTTCGAGCGGACCGCGTGCACTTCGCTTCCAAGAGCCCTGGAACCAATCATAAGGATTCGACTGTTTGTTTCGGAAGCTTGCGCGATTGGCCGATGGCGTGGTTAATTTCGTTTGGCAATTTCGTTCATTTGATTTCCGAGTCTGTTGGAACTGATCCCATTGGCTTATGTTCGAGACGCGATTTGAATAAAACGCAAATACATTTTTTTCACTCTGAAGTGAAGGTGTCTCTTTATACGGATATCTGTATAAATTCAATAATACGAATTAAATTGTTTATTAATCATAAGCGGAAAATCATTATAGCGACGATTTACAATAGCGTTACAGCATTCCGTATACGGACGTTACAACATTCTTTGCACAACTGCGTTATAATATTAGCTGCTTATACACTGATGTTTCCAACATGTAAGCATCCATGGGTCCAATAGTAATAAAGACAAATCAACAAACAACGTAATAATCCCAAGAAGATCCTTGTGTACATGAAAAGAACAATTAATTACTCGGGCTGCTCTAGCACACACAGAGGCAAGGAAGACCATCCACTGCTCAAATATTTAAACTGTGGGACCTGCACAATGAGACTGAATGTCAATGAAAAAAAAACAGAGACTGAAAAACATGATATCTAACCAGGAGCAACAGTCAAAAAGCCTGCACGGAAAACAGGCGGCCCGCAAGAAAAAACATGCGACCTGCAAGAAGAAACAGGCGACCTGCAAGAAACAAGCAACCTGCAAGAAACAGACGAGATACAATAACAAAACAAGATACACAAGCAGAAACTACATGAACTAGCTACAACGACTTGCAAAGACCATGCTGGCTGACGCATCTCGTCGGGCGCCTAAGGGGCTGATACAAAAGAAAAAAAGGCAAACAGGATGAGAGGAACAGAGAAAAAATGCGAAGCGGCGCGATAACGACACAGGCCAAAAGCGCATTAAAAATTGCATCGAGCACCATGTCTCACGTATCAGCAGCGACGGCACGCAGTGAGTCTATCTGCGCTGGATTATGCATCACGTTGGGCGACAAGGTACCTGATAATAAAGAAACACAGGCCAACAAAAGAAAGAAGTGCGAACATAATGCGGAAGGGAAAAAAAACCGTTGTAGTCGTCACATCTAGACATAACATAAGCGAATGTTGTGGCGCGATGGGGAAACGGGAAGGAGAGTGATGGCGGCGGGGAGCGAGAAGGCGGTAGCAGGCAGGGACGTGAGCGAGTGCATGACCAACCTGGGCGGCTGCCTTCCGTGCTGCTCAGGTCTCTTCAACAAACCGCCCCAGTGTTGCTGCAGCTGCGGTTGCTGGTGATGCAAGGGGGGGCAGAAGAGCGAGACAGGGCAGGAGGCGAGTAAGAACAGCAGCAACTGCAGTCACACAACTGACTACGGAGACTGCAGTCACAAACATAGAGCTCGTCGATCTAAAATGACGAGAGGGTGAGCCCACGTTGCTCGTAAGAACGACTGGGAGATGACGAGCAGGTGGGGGTAGCTGGGTGCAAGCACGTCAACTCAGCAAAAAAAAACAAGGCGACAATACCTGCCACTGGCGTACCAGCGAGGCAATCGCCAGCGTGGAGTAGAAGATGCTGATTCGGCCCCTCAGTGCCTCAGCAGAGGCAAAGGGTAGGTTTTCGCGACTGATTGGTCATACCAATCAGCAGCGTTGTCACAAGCCTGAGCAACGATTGGTCACGGAAGCTTCTTGGGGGTACAGCGACGCTCAGCTCATCAATCGCTGGCTGCTGCCAGCTCGACAATATCTGAAATGTTACAGCATGGCAGTTTCTGGACCCCCTGTACACAATAGTCATACCAGAGACACGGCCACTTTAAATACCTTTTGCATCCAATGTCCCATTTCCGAAGTCAACAAACAGAATAATCAAAATTCACAAATGGTCACAAACACAGGCGATATCGGATCACAGGCGACAAAAAGCTTACGCATGGTGAGGTTTATCACTATATTGTCCATGTTATCTTCAAATATATCACAATCTGTATCGATTCAACAATAATCTAATTATCTGATATTCTATGATATAAATATTCATACCTATTGAGCAAGAGTTCTTCATACAAAAATCTATATGATCGTAATAATTTGAATGTAGCTTTTAGATACAATGTTGGCAGTATCTCATGCACCTGTCACCATAATCATCGTAGAAGTACTTTCTATACTGGTCTGAGCTCATTCACACAAGTATGCAGCACGTGACGCTTGTTTGTGCGTTGGCATGAAAGTGTGCAAGGATAGGCATGTACGCAACATGTCACATTTTAATCGCCTGAATGTTATTTTCAGCCCTATTTCCCCTCACATTCAGGTAGTACATCCTATTCCCTAGCCATAGGAGCTTGCCTGAGCTCATTCGCACAACTGCGCAGCACGTGACGCTTGTTTGTGTGTTTGATGGCATGAAACTGTGCAAGGATGTACGCAACATGTCACCGTTTAATCGCCTGAATTTTTTTTTTAGCCCTATTTCCCCTCACATTCAGGTAGTACATCCTATTCCCTAGCCATAGGAGCTTGCCTGAGCTCATTCGCACAACTGCGCAGCACGTGACGCTTGTTTGTGTGTTTGATGGCATGAAACTGTACAAGGATTGGCATGTACGCAACATGTCACCGTTTAATCGTCTGAATGTTATTTTTAGCCCTATTTCCCCTCACATTCAGGTAGTACATCATATTTCCTAGCCATAGGAACTTGTCTTAGCTCATTCGCACAACTACGCAGCATGTGACGCTTGTTTGTGTGTTTGATGGCATGAAACTGTGGAAGGATAGGCATGTACGCAACATGTCACAGTTTAATCGTCTGAATGTTATTTTTAGCCCTATTTCCCCTCACATTCAGGTAGTACATCCTATTCCCTAGCCATAGGAGCTTGCCTGAGCTCATTCGCACAACTGCGCAGCACGTGACGCTTGTTTGTGTGTTTGATGGCATGAAACTGTGCAAGGATAGGCATGTACGCAACATGTCACAGTTTAATCGCCTGGATGTTTTTTTTAGCCCTATTTCCCCTCAAATTCAGGTAGTACATCCTATTCCCTAGCCATAGGAGCTTGCCTGAGCTCATTCGCACAACTGCGCAGCACGTGACGCTTGTTTGTGTGTTTGATGGCATGAAACTGTGCAAGGATTGGCATGTACGCAACATGTCACCGTTTAATCGTCTGAATGTTATTTTTAGCCATATTTCCCCTCTTATTCAGGTAGTACATCCTATTCCCTAGCCATAGGAACTTATATGAGCTCATTCGCACAACTACGCAACACGTGACGCTTGTTTGTGTGTTTGAGGGCATGAAACTGTGCAAGGATAGGCATGTACGTAACAAGTCACCGTTTAATCGTCGAAATGTTTTTTTTAGCCCTATTTCTCCTCACATTCTGGTAGTATGTCATATTCCCTAGCCATAGGAACTGGTTTGAGATCATTGAGAAGAAACGAGGAATGGAAAATGACTAAGTGAAAGTTGGGTACAAGAACCAAACCCTAGAAAACTGTACCCCATATGTGCTACCCCACTATAGCCTACAGTAGCTATGTCATATAAATCTGACACACCCCCATAGGCACAGTGGGGGAGAACAAGGGGTCACAAGACCAGTCAAGCAAAGCAAAGCAAAAACAAGCTCAGGGTGGATCACAAAGTCACCACACATTCCGAGCACAAGTTCAAGGCCACAAGGCCAGTTCACAAGCAGGAGTACACATATATATAAAAAGGCTAGACAAACAAGAGCAGGTATATGTATATGTAACAGTACAAGCAAGGTCAAGAGGTGAGCAAGTGAGGCAAGGTAGGCACAAGGCCCAGCTGAGTACAGAAGCGCTGATGGTCACAAGGCGCAAGTGCCTTGGTGAAGATATCAGCAGTGTTGGCCTCAGAGGCCACGTACGCAAGACGCAGCTGACAACGCTGCTGCAGCTCACGAGCAAGAAAGTAGCGGAGAGCAATGTGCTTCGTTCTGTGCTCCAGTCGCTGCTCTCGACACAAGGCCAGCATGGCCTTGTTGTCTACGTACAGCACTGGAGGAGAACGAGGCAACTCTCCGAGGTCAGTCAGCAGGTAGGTGAGCCAGCGAAGCTCCTGTGCAGCCATGGCTCCTGCGTAGATCTCAGCCTCACAACTGGAGCCGAGAACAGAAGACGAGCGAGTAGCCCGCCACGAAACAGAGCCGGAACCAAGGCTGAAGGTGTAACCCTGTGACGACCGCTGCGTAGCCTGGTCGTCAGCCCAAGAAGCGTCTGCGTGCCCAGTAAGGACCACTGGACTCTGCCCTCCAAGCACAAGCCCCATGCCCGACGTACTGCACA